TTTCTGCAGCCAGAGCAGTGAGGCACCAGTCTTCCACCAGCCCTGCAGATCAAAACCCCCAGTTCAGCAGTGCAACAGGGGTGGTGGAGAGCACACATCCAATTCATGACTGCCAATAATAATATGAAGTTCAGAGATGTTTTCTTGTGCCAGCCGTAGCTAGCTATCTGCCTGGTAACCTGAAGGATTTACAGGATGGCACAGGGAGCAGTAGGTTTCAGACTCCTGGTGACTCACTGTGCTCACCTGGAGCTCCTCCTGCATTTGTACAAGCCGCAGCTACACATCCTGAGGTTGCACAATGATGTGGACTGGAAAGCCCCAAAAAGCCAATTCCTTCCTCACCAGGGATGCCACTCTCTAGAAATATAATAATATTCCCTCCCAGAGCTCCCCGCCAAACACAAGTCCATCGGGAGGAGAGGATATGCTGGACAGTAAAATACTGTAACTGTCTGTTAATGCCATTTGGGATGCTGTTGAAAGAATTTTGGAACAAGCATGAGACTTTTTGGATGCTCAAACACTGAATGAGTCAAAAAATCATCTGTGTCCTACAGAGAAACATTTTAGAAAACAAAGCAATTGGCTTTGAGCAACATGATGTAACCTTGGTTTTTCCTCCCCTTATTGTAAGTGCATCTCTGGGTGTTTGCTTTTAAAGCTGTATCCATTAATAATGTGCCTTTATATTTATTTAGAGATATGTAAAACAAGGAGCGCTTATCCATAGCCCCAGGCAACCCAACAATTTTAATATATAAACAGCTATATAAATGAACCTCATAATTGTCCAACAAAAGCTTCAGTAACAAAGAACCCCATCTGCGCGCCATCTCTTCTCAGGATGCTCAAAATTCAGCATCCACTTCAGCAGCCAAGAGGAATAAATAAGCTTTCCAAGGGAACCAGCTCAGGTTATTGCAGATCAAATGAAAGAACAAGGTGTTTGCCTTTTCTTAACTTAAAAAAGAAAAAAAAAAAAAAAAAAAAAACCAACAACCCCACACCCACAAATGGAAAAACACGGGCCAGATTTTCAAGCAAGCTCGGCACATTGCCTGCTTAAATTACACTCACATGCAAGCGCATGCAAATGCGCCGTTCCCCTGGTCATCTGCCTGAACTGCATCCACATTTTCCTCAAATGCCTCCTTTGAGCACAACATGACACGCACAAGCAGCCTCCCCAGCCGCTCAGAAATCAGAGCATGGGTGCACTGTGGGAGCAGAGGAAACACCTGCATTCCTCTGCAGCAAAAACGCAGCTGAAATAATGATGAGTCTGACAAAAGCCTGACTGAGTGCAAAGGGCAGAGTGCTGGGACTGCAGAGCTGAGGGGCTCCACTAGCTCCTTGGCAGGGGGGGAATCATCACTCCCTTATGCTTTTGCCTGCATTATAGGTTGGGGAAAAAAGCCACGTAAAAATAAGCAACCATTTTCAGCTTGTGCTGCAGTCCTCAGATGGGCACTAACCGCCACTGCTGGAGCCCACGCAGGGCTGCTGCACTCAGCTTCACTGTGTGTTGCAGAATGTTGGGAGGTGCAGCAAGGAGTGGCGTGACATCTTTCTTTCATGGACAGCAAATGTGCCCCTGTGCAGGGCCAGCCACCGCTTCAGGCTGAGCTCTGCTCTCCCTTCTGCACTCCTCTGGCAGGACAGGGCTGGGGGAGCCCTCTTTTCCCTGGGAGATGCCGCTAGTGTCCTGGCCAAGCATCATGGCCCTGCATCCAGGAGAGCAGAGATCAGCAAGAAGGCCCTTCCTTCACCTGACAGGCTGTTTTCCTGTCTGGAGTTATAACAAAGCACCACAAGAAAGAAGATGGAGAATTCTTGTGAGCACAGTCCAGACATCATGTTTTAATCTCCTTCCCTCCACCTACTCGATCCAAAAGAAAAATGTAACAAACTTGGAAGGGTCCTTCCTGTTGCAAAACCCCACTCCTCCCTTCTAGCCACCCCTTTGAGAGGAAAAGCCCCACGAAGATCTCCTTGGGGTGAGGGGAGAATGGCTGCTTTGCCCCTCCAGCTCTCCTGGCATTCAGAGAGGAGCAGAGGCCCATGCTCTCCACTCAGACAAAGTCCCCACTTTAGAACAGCATCGCAGCGCCTTGAGCTCGTCCCTGAGCACAACCCTTTGAGTCTGAACAGCTCTGCTGGCTCCTGCCTTGGGCAAGGTTTCAGTTTCCCTGTGGCTTGATGACGTGATTTGGGCAGGATTTATGAGACTTAGAAAAAAGCACAATTAATTCTAATGGGCAATGGAGCGGATCTTTGTTTCCTTGCTCTCTTTTCTTCTTTTTGCTGGCTTCTAGGACCAAAGCAATGAGTTGGCAAAAGCCTGCCATGTTGGCTGAAGCCTGAATTTTTAGCCAAAATCTTTGCTCCAAGTCTAGTTGAATTAATTTCCTAACATTTCTAAAATATTTTCTTTTCTATAAGATGACTGAGAAGCCATTGACACTGCAGTTGAATAGCATTCAAAATGCAGCACTCTGTGTCCTGTTGGCCAGCCCCATCTCTGCCAGATCTCCACAGCAGCTGCATCAGTGAGGAAGAAGCAAAGGCTATGCCCCAGGTGCTGAGGAGAGGCGATGGTGAGGTAGAAACATGCCCTCTAGCACAGTGGGAATGGGACACATGCAGGTACCTGCCCTGTGCTCAGGGAGTGGACAAACACAAACCCAAGGCAAAGGAGCACAACCTTTGCTTGAAACCATGTACCCTGTGGAAGGCAAAGCCTGAATCTCAGCTCTGCACATCCTCACATCTAATCACCAATAACTCACTGTTCTGGACCTGTTTTAGCTGTGTCATTTAGGGTAAGACAGGATGCTGTTTGCTAGGTAAATCCAGCTGTCAGCAGGGATCACGCTGCGCTCTGCCACACACGTGCACATCCCCCTCACATGTGCCCATCTGTATCCCATGGAAACTAACTCATTTTCTTACTCCAAAACAAAGACCGGACAGAAAGCATGTGGCTTGGTTTTACCTGCAGGGAAGAGCTACAGAATCAGCAAATTCCGTGTGACAGGGCTAATTCCCTCACAAAGGCATGCTTTGCCCATGCAGCGTGAGGAGGGTGGCAGCCCACATGGGTTAGTTACTTGTTTCTTGCTACATTTCTGAAAAAGAGAGGGAGAAGAAAAACAAAACAAAACACGCGCGCACACACACACACACACACACACACACACATACACACACAAAAAAAAAGCTCTTCAGACTAGCACAAGAGGAAATGAAAAGGGAAACTTTGATGTTTCTCATCCCTGCAAAAAGCCCCGCAGCCAGTTGCAGCACTTTGTCATCACAACTGCTCGGCTTGCGGTCAGCAGCACCGCCATCCCGTCAGGCCTTGCACCAGCTCAATCATTATATCAATAAGGAAGTACAATCACTTAACCACAAAGTCAGTTTCTTTTCTAAGCCTTTGTGTTGCCTCAGAAGGCTTTCAAATAAGATGCTTTCCTGTTTTTGAAACCGGGCATCCGTATGGTTTGCAGGTTACTCAAACGACCTTATCACTTGAAGCAACCCTTGCATGGATTTCAAAACTGCTTACTCTAGAGCTCCCTTCCCCTCTCCACACGTATCTATTTACTCACAGGGATCCTTATTTACAGTGTCTTCTTGCCAAGTGCTGACAGAGAAGAAAAAGCCCTTGGTTACACATTAAGCTTTATCACCGGGGCGTTTATGCCAGACCGCCTCTAAGCACAGCTTGCTGACCGGCCTCATCTTTGGGCATGCCATGGGAAGGTGCCCACTGCACCACATTTCCAGGGGCAGGGCTCCTCACCCTCACCTGGGCCCCACAGGCCACTCAGAGAAAATGCAGGTTTATTTTCAGACAGCATGGTGAGCTCCTTGCAACACCACTAAAGGACAAATCACCAAGACAAAGCTGCTGCTGATTGCAGGGCACAGAGAGGGCTGCCCATAGGAAAAATCCTGACCTAAAACTTACACAGCGTGCAAGTGAAAACCAATTCATCTCCTGGAAAGGGTGAAATGAAGAGGACCGTGATACAAGAACAAGCTGTGCAGAAGATCTGGAAAACCCAGCTTCAAGATGCCTGTTTTGCACAGCAGCTTCAGAGAGATCTGCCAAACGTAACTGTTTCATCTGACAGTCATTTTCTGGCTTAACTTCTGAGCTGGCTGGTGGCCATTACATATTGCACAATAAATGCCTGCAAAATTAATCATGAACTCCTTGCCTGGAACTCCCAGTGCTGCTCTCCTGAAGGGTACCTGCAGGCTTGTGGCTGCACTGCCAGCAGCTCTTCAGCCATGCTCAATAACGGCTCAGCCAGCAAGGACAAACCTTCACGAAAACAGCCCGTGAACTTTACTCTTCCCCTCCTGCTCCTGCAATCTGCTGGCTGGGATGCTCACCTTTGCTTACACATCATGACATCCACATGATAGCAGAGCACACCAATGCTTATCAGCACATCACACTCTGCAGCCATTCTTGTCACAGTAACCACTGAGGTAAGGAAAGTCAGATGTTCAAGGCCAAGGAAGGACCTAGAGTGCCCTCATGGTTAGATACACTGACTTTTGCTCTAGCATGTGTGCAAACATGGGTGGCACAATGTCCACTTGTTGCAGTACTGCGTGAGTGCGATGCTCTCCCCGCATCGCTGGCAAGAGGGCCCTGACTGCAGCAGCCTCAGACCTGCGGGAGCCTCCACATAGGAACCTCCAGATCCAGGGTGCCAGCTCTCGCTGTGCTTCTAATTGAATTGCTCATTTAGAGGGAAAAAAAAAAAAAAGTGAATTGCATTCCTGCTATTTTAATTAGTTCCTCTTATTTTGCACTCCTTGCCAAAAGACTAAATTGAATTGATCAACAAATATCCCAGTGAAATAACAAAGACACCAAGCAGGATTTTAAACATCTCCACAAAAAAGAAAAAATGCCTTTTCCTAACATTCCCCAAACCTATTTCATAGCAAAATGCAAAGGAATAAAACAAGGGTGATTAAAACCAGAGATAGCAAGCAGCAAACATTTTATTGCTATATTTTCTTACTTCTTTTTAACAAGGATAAAAATTAACTTGTGCAACCTCGGCCAGGAAGTGAGCGGATCTTTGAACTCTGCCATCTGGCTGGTGGGATGTGTGTATACACTGCCCCGGGTTACAGGTTAATCCTGCCAGTTCTGGTTATTTGTGGAGGCAGCCGGCCTCTCGCAAGCTTTTTTAGTCGTTGTCACAGAGAAGACTGCAGCTGAGCAAAAGACGACAACAGTTCTGGCTAATCCAAAATCGTCCTCTTCATCACAAGAGAAGATGTTGCAACACACACTGGCGACCCAACCACACGCTGTGAGCGGTGCAGCCCAGCCTGCCGAGCTGCTGCTGGGAGCCAGGCTGGAGCATGCCCAGCAGCTGGGAGCCCCACGTGATGACATCTAGCTCCATCTGGTGCTGTGCTCTGGCCCCCCTGGGCACTTTTCCATCCAGCCTTGCAAGCAGCTGGATCAATTTACTCTAGCCTACAGTGTGCTACGCAGGCACAGACTGAAATTATTACTCATGGAAATCCCCTCTGCTTCAGTGCTTTGAACGAGGCATCAGGTAGCTTTCAAGCTCCTGACAATTAGTAGCCTTTGGTTGAGGGAGAGCAGCGTAAACACGCTGGAAGCTATGGGTTTCAAAACAGCTTGCTTAGCTTCTAGTAAATTAAAGGGAGTGGGCGGTTGAGGCACACAGTAATATTATCCAGCAGAGTGTGGTCTTCATTGACGTCACCGGACATTTTTATTCTCTCCTTGTCTCTGTCTGCCTGCAAGAGGCATGGGGAGGTTAGCTTGGTGACGGCAGCGTGGCTCACACCGCCTGGAGCTGCCAGCTTTTCATTAAGGCCGGGAGCAGATGCTGCCATACTGCAAATAGCAAGGCAAAAATACACGCAAGTCATCTCAGAGGAGGTAAAACTGCTGGAAACAGAAATCTTGCTATACGTACTTCTCTTCATGTTGCATGATTAACTGCTCTGACTAAGACAACGCTCTTCCTGTGGCCAAGCACACATCCTCCTCTCAGATTTTGCTTGAAATAGCATATTTGACCATGACCCCTCCCCTGCAGCTACTGTGCTCATCCCAGAGTAGTGCTGTGGTGTCTGTGACTGTGTTTTCTCAGTGTCACAGATCTCCTTATTTTCTCTGAGCCCCCACACTTCAGGCTGCATTCATTGTACGAAAGCTGCCAGCTTTGCACTGAAAGTATGCCAAGAAGTTTAGCAGAAAAAAATTGTTACGCTTGCAGCAAACTTTTAGAAACATGAACTGCATGTGAGCATGTGCAGGGGTGTGCCTGCAATGTTTTCATGCACCGCTATTTGTACACTGCATAAAAGCTGCCTGGACAGCAATAAAGGGATGCGCAACACTGGAGAAAAGTATTGCAAGTAAGAAAACCGACCCACCTTAGGCCCAGAGATACCACACTGCCTACAAAATGCAACAGTGCAGCACCTACATTTTCTGTGCAAAAAAACTTTGAAACATAAAGCCTACTCAGGCCAGAAGTTTTTCAGGTTCACAAAAGACAAAAGGGACTTTTTCACAACAAAAATGTGTACTAAAGCGGCTCTGCCAGATTCTGACTCAACACAGACACATGCATACTTTTCAAAGTGGAAGATTTTTCCAGTAATCTAACGGACTGAATGAGCTCATCATGACCCACTGAGCAAGTTTTCTTAGTATTCCTTTCAAGCAAGGGAATAGCTTTGGTGTTTGCACTCATTTGACTTTTCCTCTCTTCCCAAAACTTTGTTCCTCTCATAAACCACCCTTTCCATCAGGCTTCTTGTGCTAAAAGAGCCATTTTTTCCCCTGTGGGGCCACAGGACCTAAGTAAATATCGTTGGGCCATTAAGAACCAGCTGCATTAACGAAACAACAGTGCAGGCACCACTGCATTTTAGGATCTCCAGGACAAGCGAGGGAAAAGAGGACGTCTGAGGAAACCGAGATGTGTGGCCATTCCCCACAACCCCACAGAGATAGACAGTAGGATACCATGCAGAAGGAAATGTGTGTAAGTGGAAGAACAAGTCCTGTGATAAATAAATTATATGGTCTCTAACCTTGGCACCTTCTCCTTGTCCATTTCCCGGTCTACCAATTTCCTTGCAACCATCCATGCAGCTGGGTGGCACTCTACCTGCTCTTCTGAGGGGTTTTTTGTGCTGCTTTCTAAAACTATGAATCTGAAATTTGAGGGTACACAAATTGCTGCAAAGGTTGAAGAGCAAGGTCTTGAACCAAGTCATGTTTGGGAGGGAAACTACAGTTCCCATGGGGCCACTGCCATAGACCTGGCCTTGATGCAAACAGGGCACTCCTTGTACTCCGAATTGCAGATTTCTTCAGATAAGCATTGCACAGCACCACTCTGCTCTGCAGAGAGGCTGCTGATGTCCCCTTGAGTGCCTTGTCTTTCAGGATTCATTCTCAGCCTGTATCAGTGCATTTTAGGAAAAAAACAACACAAGGGATTAAGAGCTGCTCATAATTAGAACTCTGCAAGGCAGTGCCTGCAGGTTAATGGATGCTTTATCTCCAAGCTGCACTTCTGAGCTGTAGCCACCAACCTATGCTCCCTTCTTTCTGCAAATGGAAAGTCCCTGCTGCTTTACACAATAGCAAAAGAAAGTTATCCTATGGATTTGTGGCACAGTTTAGTGGGCATGGTGGTGATGGGTTGATGATTGGACTAGATGCTCTTAAAGGGGTTTTTCCATCTGTAATGATTCCATGACTTTGAAAGAAGAGTATTTGTGAATAGGTAAATGCTAAGCAACACCTTTGCTTAAAGAAAGCATTCTCCCATGGTCAGACCTGACAGTACAACCCAGGCTGCAGCCTATTTTTCCTCCACTATCTCACTGAGGCCAATGGGAGAAGACCCAGTGCCCTGTCTCATGGCATCAGTGCCCTGGCCTGTATGTTCAGAGCTCAGCTGCAGCCATAACGGTCTCAAGCATCATTTGCCCAACCCGGGAAGATGAGGTGGAAAGGAAATCCACAGGGGTTCTCCACTTCCCCTTTTCAGCCGTGTTTTGAAATATGGTCAAGTCCTGGCCATGCAGATCTGCAGAGCTATGTTCAGCCACCATGCCATGTGAAAGCAGAGCTCAAGCTCAGGTTTTGTGTTCCAAATAAGACTGAGAAAAATGTCCCAGCTTGTTCTGTTGAACTGAGGCTGCCAATGTACAGTGGTTTCATGACACAGGACCTGATGGCAGCTGCCAACTCATTTTGTGCTGGCCACTAAACAGCCTCTTATTACCATAAGTCTGAGCCCCCACCTTGCAGAGTTGGGAACAAGACCGTCGTGTGTAGCAGTGCTTGTCACCCCGGATAAACGTAAGTGGAAATGTTAAATGTTCCACAAGCCTGGCCCCTGGAAAGCATCCTTTGGGACTGCTTCTGGCAAACTCCAGTGAGGAGCATACAGCTATGGAGGGCTGCATATCTCAGTCTGTAACCAGACTCTTCTTTACAGAAATGCCTTGGATTCTTATGGCCCTTGCTCTCCCTCTTTGCAGAGCCTTCCAAGATGGTATTTCTGTGCCCAAATAAAGGTCAGGGTTCCTGCTCTGATAAATGAGGACTGGCTAGGGGCAGATTCAGCTGACAGTGTCATCTGATCCGCGCAGCTGTGCATAAACCCTGAACCAGTTCCCTTCTTATGTCCCTTTTGGGCCAGGCACGAAGCTTGGGGACATCTGTTAGTTCCTGAATTACAGCGCGCGTGCAGTAACGGCCATGCCCCTGCTTGGAGAGCTCATGTTTGTTATTTTCCAGACTTTGCATCATCTACACACACACAGCTGGACCGCAGCTTCCGGTCACTGCATCTACCATATGCAGCTGCTGGAGTGAATGGAGGCACCGCGAGCATATGGCTGCCCGACCCAAAAAATAAAAATAAAAGGAAGACATTTGCATTTCCTCTTTTCTTGTCTTGCTAAATCCTTCCCTTCAAGAAATTATGCAAAGCTCTGCTAAAGCAGTGTTATACCTGCCATGAGTGCAGCAGACACAGCTGCTGGGGAGGTCTCAGAGCCATCCCACATACTCAGGCATCTCCACACAATCCACGTTGCCTTGAAAATTTCACAGTGGTCCACGGGACAGAATGAAGCTTTGCTCCACCAGCCCAACACACAGCTTGCTTACCCAGAGGAATGCAGCCAGCAGTGCTTTGGTGCTTCTTATGCCCCAGAGAAGCCTTCTAGTCCCTGCCACAGCCTCAGTAGTCCTACCAGCTCTGCAGGATAGCAGTCTCAGCCCATTGCCCGCTGCATCCCCCCCAACCCAATGCTCCTTGCACATCCCTGTGGGATCACACTGCCCAGCTCAGCAGCACTGAATCATCACCAGCTAAGGCTGCCCACCCCAGCTGGAGACTGCAGGGCCAGGCCTTGTTGCAGGCGTGCTGCTGTGTTCAGCCACCTTGGTGTCACTGCCAGCTGAATCAAGCCCCTCTACAGTCCTCCCAAAACCCCTACATTCCCAAATTTTGAAGAGCAGGAATATAAGCCTTGTAAATCAGAAAATCTGGCCCTGAACGCATCCAGAACTCATGATCAAATGCTTCAGAGTATTTAAGATCCAGGCAACATCATTCTCCAAAGGGCTCCTTCATTTAAGTCAGTGAAAAGGTAGAAACTTGTACTGCAGAACAACAGAGGCCTTGGAAATCTGCGCGAGGAAAGACAACACAAAATGGAGACACCAACAAACAGTCTCCTCAGGACAAGCAAGAATGAGAACAGCCTCCATTTTCTGTACTTGGTGCTTAAGATGACCCCCATCTGATCCACAGATGAAAACTCCACAGCCCATGATGTACCAACTCCAGAAGAAACAGCTGTGCCTGTCCACCAGCTCTCAGCCCTGAGGTACCCGCAGCACTGTGGCTGGAGACTGCAGGCCCAGTGTAGGCATGAGTCTGGCACACAGCACTGGGACTGACAGCCTGATATCCATATCATCAGCATACAGTTATGGGCTTTCTTTGGGCTAACTGCAGCATGGCTCTGCAGACAGTCAGTGTGATCCTGTAGAGCATCTTCCATTTTGGTCTCTTGCACAATGCATCCAGCCTGTGCACTCTGAGACCACCCCATGATGTAACCCAAAGCAGAATATGTGGGAACAACAAGAAGGTTTGCTCTGGAGAGCATTCTCCAGCTGAACCAAGCTGGTAACAGCAGCAGATCCACCTTATCCCTCTGACCTGGGCACACAAATGGAGGAGGAGAAGGGGCTAGTACAGGACAGAGTCACAGCACTACTGTTCACCATAATTAGTACAAGCAGCCCAAGAAGCTCCATTCTGATGCCCTGCAGAATAAGTGCCCGCTGCTCTCCCCACTACTGCCAACCCATGTACTTCCCTCCACCACACAGTACAGGAGGCACAAGTAAGAGCACAGAGGGCAGGGTCCAACCTCATCTCTCAGTCAGCCCATCCTCCTTGAGGAGACAGCAGTTGTGTGGACTGACATGCAGCCCAGGCAGCTCCAGCCAAGAACTACTGCTAGAAAGATAGGAAACTTCGTTATTGTAAAAGCAAGAGGTGATGGTCATGCTACAGCAAGGGGCTTGTGACGTTACACACAGTGGAAAGCATAGCAATGGAAGCGTAGTAGTGAAGCCCTAACCTGTACCAAGTAAGGATATGCTCAAATGCAGCAGCTGTAGACACAGTAACACAGGAAAGAATCTACTTACCCTTTGAAGGCCTCAGGAATGCAGGAACCCCCAGAAAAGTACCCTTTCCTCCCCTGCCAACTTTTAAATGAGGTCTGGGAAGAGGTGGATCCTGGCTCCACTCCTTCTGGGTACTCAGATGCATTGCATGCACCTGAGCTCCCCTGGGTTGGTCCTGCCTTCCCACCAGGTGCTCAATCACTGATTCAGGCTATGACTTAGCATTTCTGTTACAGGGCTCCAGAGTGGTTTCACCACCAGCATGTGAGGTACGGCCATATCTCTAATAGCAAGTGTGACATAGCTTGGGCATCCCTCTCCAAGACCAGCACTCAACCCACTTCTGTGAGATAACGTCTGTACGGTTGAGATGCCTGCGGGTAAGAGAGCATAAGGGTTAGTTTTAAGAAGCCAGTAGTACCTAGTCTGAAGCATTACTGCAGGCATACGAGCAGATAACCCAGGGGTTAGACAACTGTCATAAGAATCATTCTCAAGTAAGGCCCAGATGAAAACAAAAGTGTCAATTTACAAAATCCAAACCAAGCAGCAGTTGCAGAAATTTATGGGACTTGTCCATAAAGAACAGCAAAGATCCCAACGCCTCCACTGATCTGGCACTTTCAGCCTGTAGCTGACCCATGCACCAAAATCTGATGCTCTGACTTACGCAGTTCTCCAGCTGTGGGCCCATTCATGTTTCCTAAGTTGTGAGGGAGGGAGCATTTGGGATGACATGCTCACACTTTCTCTTCTAACCTAACACAGTCTTTGGGGCTTTTCTGTATTCCTGGCTCCTCTCCTCTTTCCATCTGGTGCTGTCCTGGGACAGCCCACACCACCAGATACAAAAGGTTTCTCTTTTCCATTGTACTGCTGTCTGCCTGCTTAAGCCTGTGTGTGGTCAGTGCCCTCTGCAATGCTTCAACAGGGCAGCTGCAGTGAGAAATGTGTTGAGCTGAAGCAGGAGAGGAAACGGTGGTCAGGCAAGGGGCATAAATATTTAAGAAAATGCATCAAAGCTATGGAATGAGGATGAAAGGGATTAATGTTTGTTTTCAGAGATGTGCAAAACTCAACTAGCCATGTCTCTGGCTTTATGGGGAAGAACAGAGACAGGAAGATAAAAGCAAACACTTGTGACAGGGAAGGTGGTGCAAAACCAGGAAAGTGCCAAGCAGGAATGTTTTGAGTGCCACGAAAACAGCAGGGCCATGCTGAGCAGCCAGATGCCCAAGGAGTGTTATTTTTGGACAGCACAACTGACTTGGAGGGAAGTGTGACATTTACTGAGTCACCTCCACCACTTCCTGCAACACCTGGAGCTGACTCTAAAAGCTCTCATTTAGATACTGAGAACTCACTCACTGCTCAGGCTCAAAATAACACAGTTTACTTTCATTTTTTTTTCTGCAAAGCTCTGCTGAAACCACGACGTGTGATGCAACAGCCTCCGGTGCAGATCCCACCGCCGTGTGCTTTTCACTATGAAAAAGTGATTTAACAGTCATCAGTCATCTGTGGCTTCTCCAGGAGGTAATCAGTGACATCTTACTGCGTCCTCCCTGGATCCAGCAACCAACTGTAAGAATTTCTATTTCAAAGCAGCCTGAACTGTGCTGCATCTTGAGCCTGGATTGAGCTTTTCTCCGTTTCCTCTGACTGCAGTGAGCTGCAGCCTCCTCCAACCCAAGCACATGCAGCATTGCTGCAGCACGGGCTGAAGCCGTTTTGAAGGACAGCACTGAACCTCTCCACCGCAGTGAAGGGTCACTTATTTCTCCAGAGTCCTGCCTGCCCCTGCCAGAGCCTTCCAAATTTGACCAACATCTTCAAAGAGAAAGAAATTAAAAGAAAAGCCAATTTGAGTTCATATATATATGGTTTCAGATTTAGTATATTCTTAGACATTTTCTTACACATATTCTTATACATCCAAAATTATACATCCTTCTTATACATCCATGATAAACAGTGCCCTGGGCAACCTGATCTCATGCTTGCAGCAGTGGTTGGCAACCCTGCCGGTGACAAGGGATAGAGACTGGATGATCTTTGAGGTCCCTTTCAACCCTAGCCATTCTATGATTCTATGATTTCTTCTGCTTCTGAATATTCCCCTTGCTAGAGCTGTAAAACTCCAATGGATTCAGAGAGTATGAAACCACTGAGGCTTTAATCCTCCCACTCCTGTTTTGCTGTTTAGTCTATTAATGTGAAAAGGACAGATTGTGTCCATTTCACATTAATACCACCTTGGTATTATAGAAATTGCACAACATTTCACATAAATCCAGAAACATTTTCAGTGCTTCTGTCAAAAGCCAAAGCTGAATAACAACCATTTTGGCCTTACAAAAGTGTAATCGTTCATTAAGAGCAGTTCTGGTCACAGAGAATTCGCCACTTAAGCCCAAGTGCCTTCATTGTCAGGGCAGCTATTGAAACAACTGCTTGGACAGGATATGACATGAATGTTTAGTCTGTGTGGAAAAAGAAGAAAAAAAAAAACAACATTGAATCCTAGCTTCCGGAAAACAGCCAAGAGCTTTTTTCACTGCGTAGAAATGTCAAAGGTGAGGAAAGACCAGGCTTCCTCTAAGCAGAATGTCTCCTCGTGCACCACCCACCTGTGGAAGCAATGTGTGCAGGACTCTGGCTGCAGAGCCAGACAAGCATCCTGCTAGCTTTCCTGCACCACCAGTGATAGATCTCACCTGCCATTTCCAAGTTCACCTCTCCCTGACTTTGTCTGCCCTAGGTCCTGGATCCTGCCCATGGGGAGCTGCTTGGATGCTAAATTAAGGGTATTTTTTCACTCTTTGTTTTTGCAGTAGAGGGTTTGAGATCCACCTCCATTAAGCCAAGGTGTGAGAAGTTGGCCAGCCAACTGAGAGAAGTGTTCCAGTGGAAACTGGACAACAGTAATCCTTCCTCAGAAATGAGCGCTTAGGTTCTGAGGGTGCAAAATTTTACAGATAGTAAGTGAGGCTTGGCCGTGGAAATGTGGAGAAAGGACAAAAACTACTCCTTTCGTATGAAATATGCAATTATCTCATGGGCAATTCCACTTGAGAGTCAAGCAGGAATAAAGGCCTGGGAGTGACGAGAGCCGCAGAACCATGCTGCTCAGCCAATGCATTCTGATCACAACCCCCAGGGACCTGCTGAGGAGTGGCTCTGCAGCACTCATTGCAGTGCAATGAGAGATGAGTACACACCGTGTGAAGAGCAAACCCACTGGTGTGGAGACTTCATAAAAGCTCCAGCTGCATGAAGGAGCTCTCTGCAGAATCTAAATTTGAGTGGAGACTTCAGTTGTTTTCAATCTCCTGCTTGTTTCTTTCATCTGGGATATTGACTAAAAGGTGCAGAGAAATGTAGCACGGACAATAAGTGGACTATTTTAAAAAAATATCATTGCTGTGTGGAATCTCCAGGTATTTGGAGGTTTCAGACAGGTGCACCACTGGACATTCAGTGCTGAAAAATGAGGTTGGACAGAAGACAATGAAATGATCTTTTTTCCAGCTGGACTTACTTTACAGCCTGTCAGTCTGCCACCCTAAATGAGAGAGAGAAAAAAACATTTGTGATGTGGACCTGAGTTGAGATTTTCTGATCGACACTTTTTTTTTTCACTCTTGCTGCTGGTAAGCCTGGGAATTTTTTTCAGCGAGCCCTTGAAAACCCAGTTTGAGTTGTGAGGCTCAAGGTGAGAACTGTGAAGCATACTTGTGCTTCCTTTATTGTGGGCTTTGCTGGAAGAAGAGGCAAGCTGAACTTACACTGCAAGATGAGGTTGATCACTGGGGAGATGCAGAGGCAAGAAAGAAGAGAGTCTCTCAAGGAGCCTGCAGTGGGGCTATGGGGGCAAGTCTGGGTGCTGGGTGCATGGAAACCTCCCATGCTGGTAGGGAGCAGGATCCTGTGCACCACAGCGTTCTTCACAGAACTGCAAGAAATGATAATTTATAGTGAATCCTTCCTGATTAAAGAGCATAAAGCTCTGCAGTTAATCAAGCTGATTAAACGAATCAAACTTGTTAAGAATGGTTTTATCAAAACATTTACATTTCTTTAGAGCAGAGATTCATGTGTCTTTGCATTGCAAAGTACACAGGTTGCCATGAGAGGACTAGGAAGAGGACAGGGAACATTAACCATGTGAAACACCAAGCCTCCTCCGCTGCCTCTCCCAGCATTCATTTAAACAAAGGAACTCCCTAGGCCATTAATTTTGTTACCCTGCAGGGTATCCTTTACCTTCTGGAAATAGAGACCTCACTGTCCACAGCAAGAGGCCTTCCTGACTTGTGGGTACTTCATCTCCAGGCCAAAGTGCTGGAGGAGGTCCTGAGAGAGAAGAACCCTTTCCTGGCCCATGATGTCCCTCCATGGCATGCATCCAGGTGGAGCAGTGGCCTCTCCCCTCAGGTCTGAGACAGTCTAAAGAAAAAATAACAACACAAACTTTTTCATAGCTTCAGTCCCAGCAGAGATAGGTCCAGTTAAGGTCTTGGTTGCCTAACTTCTAAATTTAGCCACTCAAACCTCAGCTGTAACTCTAGAGATATATACTGCTGTGGAGCACCAAAACTACAGTTCCTCTGACACATTATGTGCTTCAGAGCAGGAGTGGTGAGGTCCCATGTACCCACACTGCTCCAGGGTGCTCCACCAATGCGTCTCCCATAAGCTACCTCTGATACGGCTGAGCTGGCCATGCTGTGCACAGACAGACCAAGCCGTGAGGGCTCGCCACAGGCTGAGCAAGCATCCAGAGTTTTCTGATGGAGAGAGAAAGGCATCTCTCACATCTATTTGAGGATCAGGTGAATAATCTGTGGAGGTAGGTGGCTGCCTCCTGTCTGGAGAGCAAGTCATGGCGAAGGGACTTGGGCTGCAAACCTCACTTCTAGGCAGCAACAATACAGCAGTGCTCCCATACTCCCAGTGACACAGATACTGGTGGGCAACGAGCTGAGTCCAGGAGTTACAGCCACAGCAAAATCCGGCACATTGAGGACTTGAACAGAGAGACCACAGGAGCCAGACTAAAGCAGCAACGGGAAAGTGCTTCTTTTTTCTCCTTAAGAGCATGTTCCAAGGGAAGATCTGCAGATTCAGCATCTTACAGCCAGTTCTGCTTAGGCAAAGACAAACTTGGCATGGGCACTCTATCTTCCTTGCCATATGCTCTATTCGTTCGAGAGTTGTTTTTCCTGCAGGGGAGGGTGGATTGGCAGGTATGGAAAGATATTCATTAAAATAACTTTGGCTGTTTCCTTGTGCTGGAAACAGTTTGATTTTTACCATCTCCAGTTTGATTTTTAATTCTCATGCTCAGAACAAGCCTGGAACAAAGACATTTCTCTGGGAGCATGACAGATACTTTCAGAAGGAGTGTCTGAAAGGCCACACTCCCCATGCAGCAGCTCATGGTGGCATATTTCTAAAGAGAGTGGTAGAAACCAAGAGCCTGGTAATAAAAGTCACACACATTATGAAAGCAAACATATTGACATGCAGTGCAACAAGCTGGGCTTCCATAAAGTACCTTATCTGCTTCTGTGCAAACCACTTGCCTGGTTTTCAAACAACAGGTTTCTTGGAGAATGCGTGAACTAAATTACCTATTGCATTTTGCACCGCTTGTCAGATGAATGAGATCCTTTTCAGTGGAAGGACAGACATTTGACTATTTTAGGTTCAAGGATTCTGACCAGTTTCTTCCCAAAAGTGGCTGGAGTTGAATAGCCGAAGAAAATGCAAGCACTTAATGGGGCTTAAATGCTGCAGGGAACTGCACAGAGATGGACAGAGCCTGAGGGGCAGCAACAATCTCCAGGACCAGGACTTAATGCTCAGAGAAAGTGCCAGAGCTGCTGATAGCAGCCATTGTGAATGTACATGCACGTTCTGCTCTTTAAACGTACATGTTATTTTCAGTTAAAAAGAAGCTCGCATTCATTGTCAGATTTCTATGATTGTTCTGCACCAAATGGCTTCCAGGTCTCTCCATAGGCTCTAGCTCATTTTCATTCACCTCTGCAAACAAAGCTTTGAAGGATTCAGATCTCAAAAAGAGAAAACTCAGCATGGCAACCACAGGAAAACTGGGTGGATCAGATATTTCCTGCAGTTTCAGAGCAGCTCCCAGTCCCCTGCTTAGGGCAACACAACAGGAGCTGCCTGGAGACCCCGTGCCTCTGTCTTTCCCTGCCTGGGATGCCAGGTCCTCCTGTCAGCCCGCTGTGTGCAACTCACCGCTGTGTTCAGTGCAGCTGTATGTGGGAAGGAATTGTTTCCCAGGATGATGGAATACAAACCTACAAAGCATTTCTTTTTACAAAAGAGTTCTTTTGGATTTAGTAGTGAGGAAGGGAAGAATGACTGAGCTGTATATTCTTGTTATGATTTTAGACTCATAAATGATCCTTCTGAGATGGGGGATTGAGAAGGAGAACAGCATCCAAAAAGCTCCCACCTGGAACATGGGCAATGCAATGAAACGTATTTGGAGAAATCTCTGAACAGAGAAAACAACTGCAGGCACTTGCATGCCAAAGAAGACATTGGCAAACTGGGCAGCATTCAGCAAAGAATAACAACAGAATCACTAAGTAATTAAATAACTAAATATTAACATTATAGTATTTGTTATGATTTATAATATTTATTATAAATAATAAATTAAATAACTAAATATTACAGGTTGAGTAAATAAATCCCATAGAGGGTGATAAAATCATTTGATGTTGTCACCTTGAAGGGGAGCATCCCTGTCATGTAGTGAGCATCTGGGTGCCCTTAGGAGCAGAAGTGGGATCCGTCCATGAGAGGGGCTTACCAGGGATCAGCGGTGGGTGGAAGAGGTCCTCCTTCAAGAAGGGCCACTATTCAGGGGCTGATCTTCTGGAAGAAGCTCCCAGCAATAGCTTAAGACACGTGTTTCAAATTCTTCCCTTTACTTTTCCCACAGATGCAAAGGAAAGAGAAATCCCACATTTCTCTTCATGCTTTACCGTGGTTTGCCAGTACCAATCAGCTACCCAAAGGCACAGAGGCAGGATGCTATGAGCACACGTACTCCTTCCTTCTGGATCCATCCACAGAGTCTAAGTTTGCCATTCTGCCACCTGAGCACTGCCTGCAGTGAGAGTTGCATAACGCCTCCATTAATGACTGCTTTCCCTTACTTAGAGCTCTGCCAAAGCTCAACTGCTCATGCTGAGAAACTCTGTGCTGGAAGTGTGCCTCAGGCAGGCTCTTTTGGTAATTTTAAGCTAAAATAATTCAACTGTCTCCCAGAATAAGATTAGCAAGATATATGTTAGCTTGTTCTGTTCAAATAGAGAGATTAAGTGCCTCAGTCTTCAGAGACCAGCACTGACACTTAGCCAGGCAACCGGAATCTGCCTTTGTGACTGTCGGAAGCTTTCCCACCTGTGGCCAAGTTCAACCCATACTGCCATAGCACTAACATCTTCTTCTGACACTGTGGGCCAGCAAAACAAAATAGGAGGCACTATTTTTGGCATTCGATCCTGCAGCTAAAAGCAGCTCTATCACAATGGCTATGCAAACAGGAGCTGTGCTCAGATGGCAAGGGCAATTTTAAATCAAGTATTTCCTAACTACTGAGTGCTTGATCCCACAGACTTCCCATACTTTCAACCTGCTTTGGGTTTGTGTTATTTCCTCGATTTACGGGCAGCGACCTGAAATAAAGCTGCAGGAATGCCATGATGCGTCCCAGCAGCCATGGGACTCACCAGCTGCACTGGCTCTTGTTTTCCCATGTTAATTCCACAGTGCTTGAAAAGCAGATGAACTGAATGCTGACAAACCATCAGTCTCTGCTGAGGGAGCAGGCAAGAACGAGTTGCAGCCCTTGTCAGTGGGTTCCCCAAATATTTGCTGACAACAGAGAACTCCCACATGGCAGAAACCCCCAGGGCTGTTGCATCTCTTCTCAGCTGGAAACATGGTATTCTGAGTGCATCTCCACCCTCTGCTCCAGCACTGCAGCATCCCTGTCAGTGTGGAAAAACAAATTCAAAGAGCTGCCGCTCCACACCTGCAGCGCGAGGCTGCAGCACTTCTCCCAGCCTCTTGTCAGTGATTCAGCTGCCAGACCTGAACAAGTCTCCACTGAGCAGGTGCCTTCAGAAAATACAGCCTCTGCCTCTCAGAAGTTTCTCTTGAGTGCCTGGGATCTGAGGCTGTTGGTTTTTTTTCTAAGGTTTCTTAGCTCAACCTTTTTTTCCCTGTGAAGAACAACCAAAGGCAAATTCCAGATATTTGCCAAATCTCAGGTCTCTGCTCCAAAGGCAGAAAGTACTGGAATTTCTCAACTGATCAATTTTAGAACGTTTGAATATGAAGAAAAAAGATTGTTCCTCTCCTCTCTTTCTTACAAGCAAGCAAAAATATTTTTGCTGAAGCTTCCCAAACAGATTCAGCTGAGGACAGATACTCAGAGCAGAACATGTCAACTCAGCAGTAAGCTGTTGGGGCTCCCAGGGGCTGGAGGCAAAGAAACAATTGGTCTTAAAACAAGAAACAATGGGCCTTGAAAATAGAGACGCCACAGTCATCAGACACATGCAATTTAAACAGAACTTCTGTTGAGCCAGGAGCAGAAAGAGCAGCACAGGTGCAGTGGATATGCTCTATGCAAGGAGGCCATGTACATGGTTTCATGCAAAAACAAAAAAAAACAAACAAAAAAAATCAAGCCTCCTTACTCTTTTCTACTCTCTAACTCCTCTCTGCATTGCTCCTACTATTCTCTTTCCATTCTGTCCCTTCCCATCTCACACCCATTTCCCCTCCTTTGGAGTAGGATCATCACAGCCCCACATGCTGATGGCGGGTGTGCAAGGCAAGGGCTGCAGCAGTGCCTCCCCGAGCCCAGCCAGCAGCCTTGTGCCCCTTCCTCCCCTTGAGAGGTTCACACGGTTTGGTAAGCAAGCTTCCTGCCTCCTGCCCAGTCAGCTCTCTATTCATAGGCAAACTGCACTCCTCTGTTTGGCTCCCAGAGAAGATTAAGTATAAAAAGCTCTGAAAGTCTTGCTGCTGAGCCAGCAGGAAACTCAAACTGCTCAGAGCATGGGAACCAATAGAACTGCAATGGCTAGCACAACAGGTATTGTTTGGGAGGAAATCCCTGCAGCAGGCACAGCTGCCTACACACACACACACACACACGCATACATACATAACACATAGCACATATTGTTTATTTATGTGTATGCACAGTAAGGGTATGGAAAAGGAGAAGGCTGGGGAAGGGCCAGTGGGTTGAATTGGGTTGATCAGCAGTATTCAAGAAAGACTAAGAGAACTGCTCAGCCTAGCCAAACAGCTGCTTTATTACCCAAATAACTGATCTGTCCACACCATATGGGACCTCATAGAATCATAGGATCATTAAGGTTGGAAAAGACCACTAAGACCAACAAGTCCAACCTCTAACCCACCCCCACCATGCCCACTAAACATGTCCCTCAGTGCCACATCTCCATGTTTTTTGAACATCTCCAGGGATGGTGACTCCACCACCTCCCTGTGCAGCCAATACCTCACTGCTGTTCCTGAGAATGTATCCTAACATCCAACCTGAACCTCCTCTGATATAACTTGAGGCCATTCACTCTGGTTCTATTGCTTTTACCTGGGAGAAGAGGCCAACCTCTGTCTCGCTACAGTTTCCCATCATGTAGTTGTAGAGAGCGAAGAGGTTCCCTGAGCCTCCTCTTCTTCAGACTGAATGATACCAGTTCCCTCAGCCACTTCCCTTAAGACTTGTGCTCCAGACTCATCACAGGTTTGTTGCCCTTCTCTGGACACACTCCAGGGCCTCAATGCCTTTTTTTGTAATGAGAGGCCCCGAAGGCACCTCAAAATAAGGTAATGGTAAGTTAATCTAATCAGGGATTTACTGCTTCCACTGCACCACACCAAATTCTAACACAGATAGAGTCTACCTGCAAATATGTTAAAGCTGGGACGGCAGGGGAGGGGAGGGGAGAAGGAGTTTGAATTAAAAGGTTTTTTTTGTTAGGTTTTTTTTTTGCTTTTTTTTCTGCTTTTTTTTTTTTTTTTTTACCAAAAAGGGAATAAAAGCTGTGGCAAAATAGCCCAGAAACCCCACATTCAAAAGGAGTTATGATATTTAACAAGACAATGGAGATCTATAGAGCTCTCTCTCTATAGATGCTAAGAAAATAAATGTGAGAGCAGCAAGTCACCCCATCCAGCTCAGTCATCCCTTGCAGTCATCTCAAGGAGCAGCAGCTGTGAAATCCTCAGGTAAGTGTGTGACCCCAAATCTCATGACCATGTAAAGGTGGCCAGAAGAGCAATACACGCCTCGGAAAGTGAGAAAGCAAGTAGAGTGAAAGGGCCAAGCTTCACGTCAACATTAAAACATGTAAGTGATAGATTGCCAGGATGGGATTGATCTTTGTTTCCCAAATATTCCATACTGAGTTGCATTATAAGCACTGCCATCCAGAGTCCCAGCATTTATGCATGGCCACAGTTCTGAATTGACTTAAAGCTTTCTGCAACAGGATTTTATCACTTCACAGAAAAGGGACAGCTGTGAAAGTCAGATCCAGACTGAGATCCAGTGTCCTCAAGTGGCTCCTTTTGAGAGAGTGAAGGATTGCCAGTCTGGGGTTGTGTCCTAGCTCCACCCCATTGTAGAACTAGGTGGAGGAGCACCCGTGCATCTGAGGTCATTCCTTGACTTCAGTTAGGCCATTTGGGGGTAGGAACGCTCAAAGCAGTCTTATTTTGGATGAACACCAAAAAGCAGTCTGGGAACCTGGCCGAAATGAGCTGACTCTCCAAAGCGAGTAACACCAGTGGAAAATGTGGGTAAGAGCTTACCTCTGCTCTTTGTAGCTTTCCTGTAATAGGTTTTTCCTCTGTCGCATGGGAGCTCTGAGAGCAAGCCCATTTCCACTCCAAGGTGAGGGAATTAAAGTGCAGCACCACGCTCCTGCACAGCATTCAGGTCACATTGTGGTCTACACTTGGAGGTGCTGCCTGCACAGCACATCAGTCACAGCCTCCCACGTCTCTGCAGGATGAGCACGGAGCAGGCGGTGCCATCAGCAGCACCAGGGAGAAAGCCCTGCATGCTGGGCTTTGTTACCAGACCCCCTGTATGGGAACAGAACTGCAGAACAAGACAATACTTCTCATCTGAAGGAGAATATTTCTTCCTCCATTAATAATTTCCCTTGCTATTCCTGGCGGTGACCTTCGCTGAAAAGGAAAAAAAAAATCCCATTGCTTTTATATCTTTTATCCAACTTCCTATTCTAAAGCCTCTGGCTAGAATGAGTCACATTTATATCTGCTATCACATTACATTATGCAGTATCAATGCTGCTACCTATCCTCTCTTCCTCACCACCCAGGCTTGTTGTCATTAGAACAGGCAACTTGCAGCTGCACTTAAAGATTGCCTGCCTAGGTGGCAGTGCCCCTAATACCCTTATCTCAACTGTGGAAGCAATAATGTGAGAGACAGCTGGCCTCACACCTCAGCTTGAAGGGAAATCACCCTGGTTAGGTGTAGGGAAGTGTTTATCTGTGGCAGAGCAGATGCTGCCTCCTCTTTGGCTGCTCACAGTGACATCCCTGGTGTACACTACTAGCCCTTCAGCAGCCACTCACTCATTCTAAGATAGCCCACAGAGTTTTCCTTTAGCATCAACCAAACCTCCTCCCAGCAGTGTATGGGGGTGGTAAGAAGCTCCAGCAGAGAACTCTCTGAGAGACACCTCACATTTACAGACCTCTGAGAGGACTTTCCGTAGAAGAGAGTGAGCTGTAAATGTAGGGTGAGTTTAGGGACCTGGTTTAGTGGGCAATATTGGCAGTAGGCGGATGGTTGGACTAGATAACCTTAGAGGTCTTTTCCAACTTTAATAATTCTATGATTCTATGATCCTAGGTCTCTCATTGCATTCATACTTTCTTTCTTCCTCTGCCATATAAATGATGGCTGAGACTCACTGCTCACAAAGTATTATAGAATAACAGAATTACCACGGTTGGAAAAGACCACCAAGGTCATCTAGTCCAACCAGTATTTCCCAACCAAACCATGTTCCTTTGTACCACATTGACACATTCTTGAACACGTGCAGGGATGGTGACTCCATTACCTCCGTGGGCAGCCCATTCCAGCACTTCACCTTTCTTTTGGAGAAGAAATTTTTCCTAATATCCAACCTGAACCTCCAGTGATGCAACTTGAGGCTGTTCCCTCTAGTCCTATCATCTTCCATATGAAAGGGGCACTTGTAAGCAAACTGGATGCCAGACATATGTCATCTTTTTTCAAATGTGAATTTGGACAGTGGCAATGGTCAAAGCCTCCTGTCAGAAATGGATGTTTCCTCCATCACTGAGAGACCTGTAGCAAACTGATGGGAAAAAAGCTAGTTGCTGGCAGGGCAGGAAAATCCATCCACTTCCAATGCTTGTGGCATCCCAGGTGGGTCTGTGCAGGGCAAACAAACTGCTTTTTTTAAATAAACAGCACCATGCACCATGGTGTGAAAGCAAGTAATTTAAGGCAAATTGCAAGAAGTGTGACAAAACAGCAGGAGGGAAAGCAAGATCTGAGGGTACTTTATAAAAGTATGCTTATTCTGCTGACATCCACAGAAGAGGTCGTGGTCTGGAAAGAGCAAAATATTTTCAGCAGTCGTTGTTACTGGTACTGCAGGTCTGCTTGTCTTTCTGTGACAGTGAGAACTAATCACTGTGCTTGAAGTTGTATTGTAGGATTTTAGCTTAAAAATCAAAACCAAAAGAAAATAGGAGAGCCACTTTGAATACATATATATTCAGGTCTCTAAATAAACAAACTAATATGGCACATGAAAAAAAATAAAGAGTTTCTCTTTAAATTTAGTGCTGCTTTCATTGCACCTTTGGCAATAGGCACGGAATTTTTTCAGTAGCTTTTTTCTTATCTTGAATAATGGATGTGCACTACCTTCCCTTGCAAAACCATCTCTTGATATTTGTAAGCTTTGTTGATAGAGGAAAGGACGCACTCAGGACCTTCTGAGCAAGATCTTACTCACAGGTACAAAGCTTTATTCACTGATGAAAGAATCCTCTCAGAAATGCTAATATCAGCACTTAGACACAGTGGCCAAAATAAACATAATGGTTGGTACATTATTCTTTTTGGATCCTTTACAAAATTAAAGTTCTTCAGAATTAGTGTTGAAATAGCGTTTTGCTGGAAAAGAATGAACACACATTTCTGAATTAAAATCTACTGATGGTAATAGATGATGCACAAGTCCCAAGAGAGGGCTTCCCTGTCAACTCAACCAAAGTGAGAGGAGGAGGGGTAGTGAAGAGATGGAGCATTTTGATAACTTGGATCATATCTGACTACTTGCATTCCCTTGGGAGATTTACTGCTACTTCTGAGAGCAGCAGCCAAAAGTATGCTTTGATGTATCTTTTATCTAAGGCTATCTAAATACCATCTTGATAAATTACATTTGTGCAGTTGAAGCACTGAACCAGAGAGAGAGCTTTTGTTCCTCTTTCTATCGTAGGCTCTTGGTGTGTCCTTGGAGAAGCAACAGAGATTCACATGCCACATGAGTCCCAGCTGACTGGAAGCTGGCAAATGTTGTCCCAGTTTTCAAGAAGGGTATAGCAAGAAGATGCTGGTAATTACAAGCCTGTCAGTCTCTCTTCAGTGCCTGGTAAAATTATGCAGAAGATTATTCTGGAAGTTAGTGAAAAACACTTGAAAGGCAATGCAGCTGTTGATCATAACCAACTCAGGTTCCTGAGGAGAAAGTCCTGTTTAACAAACTTAATTTCCTTTTATGCCAAGGTGACCCACCTTGTTGATCAAGGGAAGCCAGCTGATGTAATCTTTTTAGATTTCAACAATGATTTTAATACTTTTTTTCACCATATCCCTCTTGACAAAATGTCCAGCATCCAGCTAGACATAATGCAACAGGTGTACATTTGGCTCATGGGTCGGGCTCAAAGTGTTACAGCAAATACGTCAAGCTGGTGGCCAGTCATTAACAGGGTTCTACTGGGCTCCATTTTAGTCAGTTCTCTTCAGTGCTTTTATAAATGGTCTGGACACAGAACTCAAATCCATATTAAGTAGGCTTGCAGATGATACTAAATTAGAATAGAATCACAGAATCATACAATATCCTGAGTTGGAACAACCCCATAAGGATCATGGAGTCCAACTCTTGGCTCTACATAGGACTACCCAAAATGCAAACCATTTTTCTGAAAGCATCGTCCATATGCATCTTGAAGTCTGGAATGCACTGCTGTAGACTCCCCTGATTGCAGAGAGGTCTTGCAGAGAAATTTCAGCAAATTAAAGGGCTGGATAATCATCAACCATGTGAAGTTCAAGAAGAGTATTAAGAAGAGGTTCTTCACCAGTGTGTGGTCAGGCAGTGGAACAGGCTCTCCACAGCAGTGGTCATGGCCCCAGTCCTTTGGAGTTCATTAACTATTTTGACAATGCTCTCAGACACACAGTTTGATTTTGGATGGTCCTGTGTGGAGCCAGGGCTTGGACTCAAAGTCCTTTCCAGGTTGGAATATTCCAGAATTCACCTGGGCCCCTATCAGCCAAGTAGAGGAGAGATCACTTGCCTGCAGAGCAGCAGAGAAGGAAGCTCTGTGCATCATGAAATGAACAGGGCCCGCAACGCTGAGTCCTCCTGAAACCAGTGATAACAAATTGATGCTAGTCAGATGTAAGTAGCCCTAAAATTAATAATATGATTCACTAGGAAACAAATTCCTCAGTTCTAGAAGTTACCAGCAACAATCATCTCTTCTGACCCTACTGCTTCCATAAATAAAGAACCATTTGAAAGGTCATTAGCTATAAGGTAAAGCAAGTGACTTTGCTTTGCATGCAGGGGAATATGACTTAAATTAGGCCAATTGAGTTTATGCTGAAGAGGATTACAGTTTCTCATGTGCTCCTTAGCATAGCCCAACCATGCAAGGTCACTTCTCTGGCTAAAACTCCAGAAGGACATTTAACCTTGCCCATGGGCATTTCCCCAGTGATGAGAAAATAGATGGAAACAGAGTTGCCAGAAGAAACTGTCCAGAGCAACAACAAGATTCCTGCAAATAAAAGAACTTCCTCAGATCAAAGAGGACAAGTATTTTTTGCTCCTCACCCTCCTCCACCCCCAGGTAATGGAGAGCTGCTGGATTCAGCTGGAGGAGAAGAGGGGACGAAGGAGTAAGAAGCAATATTTTTGGTAAGGGAATGCGTACAGTAAATAACAGCTGCAAACACTCCCCAGGGTATTGAAGACATTATAAATGGGGGGTTTTCTTCCCCAAATCAGACCTCAATGGGAAGCAACTTTTATCCTGTATAAAGGAGCGCTCTACAATAAGCTTGTTAAGCTTGGAAAGTGCTCTGGGAGCCCCTGGGATGAAAGGCGCTCTAGGAATGAAAGCTGATATTTATGATTATTGTTTGAAAGGAACAGAGAGAAACACTTGATGTAAAATATGAATGGCTGCTGGTGCCAAAAGATCCGTTGTTGACTTGGTGCCAAGGAAGATATTCCCAGCTCTCAAACCTGGATGACAAGGATTTAGAAGGTGCAAGAATTGGAAGTGACTCCTGTAAATAGCAGCAAACAGCAAATGTAGGGCAAATAGGTGTCTTGTGAGTTTCTCTTTTCTTCACCATAAAGTGTAGGCCATATGATCTCTCTCACCCCAACTCTGCCAGCCAAAACAAGCACCCATTAACTACAGTACTGCTGGTCTGCCCTCCTTTTAAAGGAAGAACTTTTAAAAGGAGAGGAGGGGAGAGGCATATCCTTCCTAAGTGATCAAATGTAATGGATTGGCCTGAGTAGATTCATATCTAATCTCACACAACCTTCTAAAAAGCAGAATCAACCCCAGGCTATTGTAAATTAAACTTCCCTATTTCAGAAAGCTATGAGGGAAGACAAGCAGGCTAACAGACTATGCTCCTGCAGACACTACCTGCATGCTCTCAGCTTGCATAAATCTCTTCTGTTGATTTTACACCGGGCATCTGGACCCCTGATGTGGCACTCTGCAGCTCCCAGAGAGGATGTTTTTCCATCCAGAATTGGTACTGGAAAATCTTCACCTCAGTCTGTCAATCTTCCACTTTTTCCCCAAGAAAAACTAGAAGAAAATCCTTAGAGACAAAAAAATTATTCAGTTCTTCAAAAACAAGCTCAAAAGTGACTCTAGTGCTGAAGAAACCTTTACAGCAAAAACCCACAGGATCTCAAGAAGTGGTGTTTTTCTTTTTTTTAATATAGCAAAAGAAGAACACAGCATGTGCCAGAGGCTGAAAGCTAATGCCATACACATTTAAATTAGATATTAGGTGCAATTATTTTTTTTTTTAACAAGTGAGTGTGATTAACCATGGCAATGAATTATCATAAAGAGCTCCGATTCTCCAGCTCTCAGGCTCCAAATGAAGACAGGAAGCCTTTCAGAGGCATTCTTTGAGCCGACAGAGGTAGCTGAGCTAGAAGAGGCAGATGGCACTAGGGACAGGGAGCCCATGGGTTAGCACTCTACCCAGGCTAGCAACTCAGTGCATCCATTTGGCCTTCCAACCTCTCTGTGCACCAACTCCACACTGCCTAATGTGACTGTGCCACCTGCTAGCCAGGAAAGCGCTGTGAGTGCTCACTCTGTGTCACTGTAGCCTTGCCTCCCACTCCAGAGAAGCATGGTTTCCCCAAACCACTGGGACTGGTAGTACCAGCAGCCTTTGCTGGTGTTTGCCAATGCATGATATAAGGGATATAAGGGAGCAAAGGAGCAAACCCCTAAGAAAGGAGCTCTGTGCTGTTGCTCACGGCTGGTCGTAGCCCACCAGGGACTGGTGCAGGACACACTTGCCAGCTCCTCTCCCTTCTCACTGCTCCCTTTTTAGGAACAGCCTAAAACCAATGGGTCTGTATTAGTAACAGAAAGTCCTTGGCCTTTTTGGTTTTTTGTTTTTTTTTTTTTTCCTTTTCCCTTCAGCTATTTAGGCCAACTCTGGATAATCATGCTTTCTAACTTAGACTCAGTCAGTGCCATGGCAACCATTTCAACACGCAGCTCATAGCCAGCCTCTGAGAAGCACAGCCCCTCTGAGAAGCACGCACACCTTGATGCTTCGTGAGAGGCATGAAGAGAGGAGTGCTGCCATCTGCTACACTGACACATTTTTATACCGCCTTACCTCTGGCAGCATGAATATCTGCTTTCAGCTCTGAATAGCTCATCAACTTCTGTCCCCATTCCCTCCCAGAAAAAGAGGTTCTATAAAAATTGGCACAGATTTATGAAGATGAAAGAGAAAGGTGTAGGAAGGGAAATGCACTTGGAAATTCCACTCTGTGGCCTTTGAATTCACCCTTGCAAGAATGCAGCTAAGCCTGTCCTGATACTGCTTTGAAGGAAATCCTGTTTTGTTCTGTTGTGTCACCATGGAAAAGGAGAAAACTTCTAGGGCTTGCTTTCGGTTTTTCTTGAATCACAGGAGAGAGATGGCAGCCATGGAGGAGCGTAGGCACTGCTCTCCCTCCTCTGCAGAATGCCTCCTGTTTGGTAACATAACAGCTTTGCCCCATGCAAAACCAGATCCACATCTCTCCATGTGAGCAAGCCTCAGACAGCACTGGGAAAGAACATATCTGGAGCGTTCAGGTGTATTTTCCCAACCATTGTCCCTGAGTTTTGCTCGAAATCTAGTAGCTGGGTTTGCCTTTGACCACTTGTGATGGTAGCTCTCGACAGTTGGCTGGCACAGTGCAGTGCTGCACCCGTGTCTGTCGTGCTGGCTGTCAACACACATCTCTTCTCACTGAACACGCTCTTCTCCCCAGCACAATCAGGGAGGAGGACCTGGCTGCCAGTGCCACAGCATAAAGAAAATCTTATTAATTTCTTTATGTAATTGTGGCTGCCCTGTAGAAGAACCTGATGCCACGTCTTGAATGTTTTCTTTTATGTGTTTGTGTGTGTAGGTTTCAAACACATACGTACAGAGCACTTGTAGCGTCATGTTGACCCTGACCTGGGGTAATTACACCTTCCATTCCTTTCTTTCCATCTTTTTCTGCATTTGTACCATTGTGGTACCACTGTACCAGCAAGATCTGCCCCCATCCCTGCCACCTCTTTGTCACTAGTAAGAAAAAAATTCTGCTTCTGACCAAGGGAGAGGAAAAATCCAGGTGCACCCACAAACAGATATATGTCAGTGCACCCAAAATAGCCAAAATGGATGAAACATTTGATTTCAGTTTGAACGCACCACTTGCCGATGCTTGCCACAGGAGAGCACAAACACGATACTTCACACTGATATTTTTTCTAGGAACGAATTCAAGAGACCAGAGCCAGCAGTCCCTTAAGGCAGGTATATCAGTCTGAGCCAGAAGGTAAATACAGCATCGCAATTGCCTTTGCCCTGTTATTTTAATGCATGCGCGTGCAGGCACACATGGTGTTTCGTAAGCCCTGCATATGTACTTCTCAATCAAGTATCATTTATATACACCATCTTTCACTGAAATAAAACCTCTGAGACTGCTGAGGTTAGGAAACACGGTGTGTGCTCAGAGAGGCACATCATGGACAGCCCAGTAAATCTCTGGGACTTCTGACCGTGTACAGACTGCCCTGGGGAACCCGCAGCCTCAGCTGTCCTTTCTAATCTGCAACCTAAAGTCAAGATCCAGGCTGGCAGGAGGAAAATATAGGACACAAGCTTTTAGCCAACATGTTAAAGTTAATGCGTTTCTGTAGCTATAATAAGCACAGACAAAATTATGAAGCTCTGTAAGACTGGGAATACCACCTCTATGGCATGCATATAACATTGGCCTGACACTGCAAAGCCAAATTTCTGCAAATAGCCAAATGCCTTTTACCACCTTCCACTTTCCCAGAGCCTCCTCTTCTGGTGGTCCCTCTCTGCTCCATGCATAAGGAGGCTCTCTTACCACCCTCCTGTCAGAGAGGGAACAGAGGGATGATGGCTAGAAATGAAGCTGGAAGAGAGACTCTTTTATCATATCCCACTTCAGGTAACTTGCCTAACACAGACGGACCGGCAGCATCTAGAGCAGAAAATCAAAGTAGTGAACCAGGGCACAGGAGGAGGAGCTCAGCCCTCCGCAAGTCCAACCCTCAGCTCAGCCCAGGACACAGCCTTGCACAGGGCTGCCAGCGCTCTCCCACCCTGTTGGAAAAGCACGCCTCAGGAGGGACTCAGGGACTGCTCCCAACAGGTTTGCATGTGGCTACATGGATGTGGAGGGCAAAGGGGGTTTATCTGTACCACCACAGCCACTCTCCTTAGGCAGAGGGCAGCTCCAGTTCCTGCTCGCTTTATTAGCACTAACAGCCATTATACCCACAGGCCACCTCGGACTTCAGCCAGCAAATGAACTGCCCTGCCTTTGTTTTGATGAAATCAGGACGCGTCCCTGAGCCAGCTGCACAAACCCTGTACTCCACTTTGTTCCAGTGCATAGTCCCACAGGCCAACCCCAGCCACCAGCTGCTCAGACCAGCACACCTGCTGCTGCAGAGGTGGAAGGGAGAAGTGCTGATCCAGATTGCCACCTCCCAGCTGGGTGCTGTGCCTGCCTGAGGGCAGCTCGCTCTGCTGTGCTCCATCAGCACAGCCCACCTGCCTGAGGGTCAGTTCAACCCTCTAGAGGCTCCCAGAATAATCTGAGCAGTAGATGGGGGCAAATGGTGTGGTGCTTCTTGAGGCCCAGATCCACCCTTCCTCTTACCTTTCAGAAGCAGGAGAGCAGCAACGCTCACTTACTTTGTTTTCATTTGATCAGAATGGAAAGACAAGAGTGCCTGCAGAGCTACCTGCTGCATTCTGTCTGCGTTAACAGTGCACCCTGCTGTACCCTGTGGGACCTTGGAAGCAGCACCCCCATTTCACTCCAGCAGTCTGGGCAGCACGGCACCTTCTCTTGATGGTACCGAGCTGAGGAAAGCTGTGCAGAAACCTGCACTCTTTTCACGTGCTTTGGAATCCAGTATTAGGAGTGCACTTGCTTTCCATCAGGATATGCAAGAGGTTAGGAAGAAACTTAACTTAGAGGAAGTTCCTTACATCTACTTGAGGATATGTCCTCTTATGTTCCAAGGGAGGGTGCTGGCATGAGAATGAGATCAGGGCTGTTCCCAAACAGGTCAAGGGAGATTGCAGACAAAAGCAAACACTGCAAAAATCTGTCCAAGTTCAAGCAGAGAAATTGATTGAATGGGTTTTTAACCCTTTTTCTTTTTCCAAGTAATGAACACTTTCTTTTTTGCAAGCATGCTCCTGGAATGAGAAATCTCATAGTTTAGGGATACGTTCACATGGGGAACATTCACGTGACCTTTCAGATCGCATTCCTCCTATTTATAAGAGCGTTACTCATCCACTTAGAGAGCAGAAGTAACACCGTGTTTGTTAAATGACTACATGGGCGCTATGAATAACCAGCAGAGGGTATTTAAAACCGCAGTTACATCCAAGAGCACCCAGAGCGTCCATAGCCAGCACACATTTGGACAAAGCACAAGTAATACTGCACGTAACATACATTTGAAAGGCAGCTTGAAGGCAATTTCCTCAAAGGAAACATGGGCTAAAAATCCATTGGATAGATTATTTTCCAGAGATAGTTCACCTAGTTCATTAGGCATGTAGAATAGCTGGCAACACAGCGTGACAGCTGAAGACTTGAAACTGAACAAAGTCCAGGCAGAACTGCTGCAGAAAGCAGCAGATGGAGCACAATTCCTCAGCGCTGCAGCCTGGTCACGACACTGCAGAAAATGTCAAGAGTGTAGTGCTACAGGTTTGCAACTTTGTCACTGGCAAACCAGATGTTTAAGAACTCCCAGCAATGCCCAGCTTGCTGACTAATGCGTAGCCCAACTTAGCTTGAGGGAAAGAATAATACCAACCACATGTGCTGTTAGCCCCAACACATTTCCAAGCCCCTGTCAGTATAAGTAAACTTTCCAAGTCCCAAATCTTATCAGTGCCTGCAGCATACTTCCACAAACAGTACCAGCTCCTGGGTCAGAGGGTAAGACACTGTTTCCAGGCAAGCAGGACTTCCCCGCTTATCTGAGTGCAGGTATCAGGCAGGAGAAAATCTGGAGGGGGAGGAAGAGTGAAGGACAAAGAGGTGGGATATTGAAGAATATTGTGCCAGAATATGCAGAGTGGAAGGAGTTTGACTTCCCACCAGCCCCTCACTCTAGTGCTATTGATCCATGACACACTTCCACACAGCAGGGGATGGCCTTGCAGGGACACCAGATGCCTGGGTATACTACACTTTGGGCCAGACCTTCTTAGGGTGAGGATGGTCATTGTAAGCAAGAGGCACGAGGTGCGGCCACATGGCAGCGCCAGGCAGCTGCCCCTGCCAGCAGACCTTTGTGGCATCAGCCTGGCCAGAGAGGTAAACATCACACCAGAGGCAGCAGCAGAAAGTGAGAACGTGGCAGCTCTGGGTGCAAATATCACTTCCTTATTGCAGCCTCCATGAGCGGCCCTGCCTTGCAATACTGAGAATGTTTTGAACGGCAGAGCCCAGGCAGTGAATCATCTTATAATCATGGCTGGTGCGTCCCAGCCTCCATGTATCATCAACTCCTCCTCTGGGTCAAGCAATCATTTGAGAGTGAATCATCGCTGCACAGGTTTCTCCCAGTGCAGGCAGGCGTGCAGTGAGCAGAGCTGCTTGCCATCTGCATCAGCCAGACCAACAGGGCTGCAGGAGAGACTGAAAAAGCTGAGGGAAAGAGAAGCAAATCCAGAGCAGGAAGAGAGCACATTTGCTTCCTCTGCAGACAAGACGGAAGCTGAAATGACAGTGTGTGGACTTTTCTGTTGTCTCCCAGTTCACTACCCATGCCCCAGAGCTCATGCTGCATGAAGGAGCCATGTTCCAACATCAGCCCAAGCCAGGCCTGGTCCCATGCTGCCTGCCCAGGCCTCAAGGCTAGAGGCAACTCTCATTCTTGTCTGGGCCAGGTAGGGGAAGGACTCGCCAGGCCTTACCCCCACCCTCTTTGTAATATCAAGTAATAACACTATTTAGCACTTCCATAATTACCTTGTGTTCTGGTATCACAGACACAGCTGAATTGGAAGTCATTAAGATCGTTTTAATGAGCTTCAGTGGATCCTTTCAATCGGAGGCGTTCTTTAGCCAGCTCTCATTTTCGTGGTTATATCTGAATAAGCAGTATGCATTGAGGTGAGGTTCACAGATGAGACACTGGCATAAAAGCAGACTCCTACTTGCAAAAGCAAAGTGTCATTATGCATCATGTTTCACCAACTTCAAAATGCCAAGGAAGGCAAATCAGGTTATAACCGGCTCCACCTACGTCTTGTAGGAGCTGCGAGGTTATTCCCATGGACTGGCACTTGGGAAAGGTCAGCCATGACCTCACACAGGGCAGCCCTTCCTCAGCAACCACTGTTTCGGAGTCTTTCACCGGTCTGTGCAGGTAGCCCTCAGAAGCAGATGTCAACACATCTCAATTCCTCTCTTGGTAAAGAGAAAGGGGCAGGAGGCCAGCAGCCCCGGGAGCACCTTGCCCAGGAAACAGGAGAACCATGCTGACCTAGTGAAGGTGCTGGCAGAGCCCTGGCCGCTGGCCTCTGCTCCGATGGAGGGGCATGCAGACATCAGGCTGTCCTGGCCTGGGCGCTGTGTTCAGAGCCCTCTGGAGAGGAGGGGCTGGCTGGTCCTGGGTGTGTTCTTAGCCACGTTTCTTTGTAGGGTCTTTAAACAAGAAGGAATTAAGCGTCCCTTTAGTAGTGGGTACATCAGTTCCCTGCTCAGAAATGGAAATAAAGGCACTTCTCCCGTTTTTGTCTGTCATTTGTGTTTGGGCTGTAAATTCCTAGGGAAAAAGAAACAAACAAACAAAAAAAAACCAACAGGGGTTTCCAGGTGTACCTGTCCTATTAATGATAAAAATAATGTGCTGGTTTTGTCATTAGAGTAGGAGGAAATGTTAGCACACGGAACAAACACTTGTACTGCAATTTCTTCTGTTTAGAAAAAGAACAAAAAGATAACAGTGTGAGACTTTGACCAAGAGCAAAGATAAAATCAGGGCAGCTGACTCAGTGCAACAGAAAGGACTTAACAGAGCTGGCAACATTTCAGCCTAATCAGGAACTTGAACGCAGGAATATGTTAAAAGCAGCACAACATATTCACAGTACTGCCAGCATGAAGAAAGAGCAATTGTTGGGAAAAGGCATTCTTTTCAATAGCATGGAAGTCCTAGCCAAGCACAAGCACAAACCTGTGTTTATTTGTTGGTGTTCAGTTTACTGTCAATATTGCAAACACATAAAAACAAGTCAGAGACTCCAACCCTGCAATGCTGTCCCCAAATACAGAGAAAACATTAGCTACTCTCCTAACATCCCTGTGACGTAACTATTCAATCCATTCCTCAGAAACAGGTAAAAACATGAGATTTGGACAAGACCCAAAGGAAGTTAGCCGCACTTTAGAAATGCAGCTGAGACACAGAGCTGCAGCTCTTCTTGAAAGCTGTTTTAAAAAACTCCAGGAAGCAATGGTATTTCCTGAGTTCTGGCTGTACCTACAGTGTGAAGGAGCTTCCCGTGCCGTTTCCTTAATTAGCACAAATACGCTGACAACCTTCTCTATGCTGAAATCAAGCCACAGACCAACCAAAAGTTTATCTACCTACGCATCCAAATCTACCACGTGCTGAACCAACATGTTTCAATGCCGTAATCAGTACTCTGATTATAACATGGCTTTGTCATGCATCCAGTTGCTGAAACAGATTTTGATGTCCCAATATGAAACCTATTTGTCCCGCAGTCAGCAAATATGAGAAGTGCCAATATATATATCCAATGTTTTGCAAGTGCTGAGGCTGTGTGCTGGCATCATTGGAGCACACTGACCACCGCATGAATTTATAAATACGATCCAGCTGAATTAGAGAAATAACACCATTTGAAGGCCAGATTCTAATCTTGTTGAATCTGAAATAAACATGAAATAACTCATTTGGCATCCAGTAATTTACTCTGGTTTCACCATGCAGTGATCAAGGCCATAGTTACCTCTTCACACAGTTTGATCTGAGTGTAGTCCTGTCAACAAGACACGTTACAATACAATCATGCAACAGTGAAACAGAAAAGACAGCATGCCAATACAGTAAATACTGTAGTATCAGTTCTAGGGAAAAGTTTAGCAACCTTATGACAGGTAAGGTTTAAGTGTGCGATCCCCTAGCTTTGTTCCTGAGACAATTTTTGCTTTGTTGGGGATGCAGCTGGCAGGACTAATTCTAAAAGCAACTGCACAGCCAGCTCATAGCTAATCCTGAGTGAAAGCTGGGACAGCTAATGCTGTTTCCTCACAGCTGAGGCAGCCAATTTTCTGGGGCTGGTTGGGTAGGACAGGGCACTGCAATATGCTGGTGTGACTGACCTGTTCCCTCCCCCCCATTTCAGTTGTCCCTACAGCAGTGCACCCTACGTCCCCACACTATGGTCCACAGCTTCCAGGAATCCACCTCCACTGCTGCTGGTCTGTGGCATCGCTGCCCAGATTTTCCCAGAATCACTTGGCACAGACCTGGTCAGACAGCATGGCAGGCAGCCCTGCCAACATAGCTGCCGCTTGGAAAATCTGCCCTGTGGATGTAAGCTGAGCATCCCGCCCATTCCCCACTGTAACTCTTTTAGCTGGATACAAGGTCACAGTTGTGAGAGTAACACGAATGTATCTTTGATGACATTGACATACATTACCCATAGTTTCTTGCCGAGAAGAAAAAGAATGCCAGAAAGTGATGCTCCATGAAGAACAAATTAGATCTCATTCTGTGTTCCTTCACCCTCAGAGAATGGCTTTGAATGTCACCGAATCCTGAGCCGAGACTGTCACCCACCCACAGGAGGGGGTGACAGCTAACTCATAGCCTGCATGCTGGCAGAACTTCTTCTTCCCTCAGTCCATTTGTTTATCCATTTTTCAGTAGTTGTTCTCAAGTACCACAGAGCAGCTTTAGGACACAAACGTGTTGCCATCAGGCACCTCGAGTTTTCCTTAGGTGCTGCCAATAGAATCATGTCCTGCAGATCTACCATGACCAGATGGGGCTCTTCCTGAGCCAGTGGGGTCCTTACTCTCCTGGAGAGAAGGGGAGGGATGGAGTGAAAGTGACACTGACATTCCTTGAAGAATGGACTCCTTGATGGCACAATGGGGGTGATTGCCAAAGCCACTGAAAGCCCAGGCCTAGGTAGTGAGAACTACCAAGCTGAGCCAGGTATGATTCAGTAATGCAAACTAAGTCGAGCAGAGTTTCCTCTTCCTAACCTCATTCCTTCTCTCTGAAAGATAGTTTGCATGTTTAACCAAATGGAAGCTGCAACCGAGACATCAAGACAGCTTGCCGACTGGGCTGTGTGTCAGCACGAGCCAGAGGGCTGTAAATCAGACAAGGTGCAGTCAGCTCCTCTGGGAAGGCTTCCCTGAGGTTCCCCATGGTGCTAAAGCAGCAGCAGCAAAAAAAATTTACCCTCAGACTGACACACCTTTGCCTCCCACAGAACTCAATATAAATCACAATTGCTCCTATTTAGAGAACAGAATGCTGCAAGCCTAATCACACTTACACCGGTTTTACACAGGTTTCTTTGCTTTCTTTGGAAATACCCCATCTTTACGTTACAGGTGTTGCCAAGACCAAACCTGACTAGGTCAGCACCTCTGAGCACTGCTAAGGTTTGGGTCTTTCTTCAACAACAAAACATCGCTCTCCGCTTGATTAGAGAGCTGCTTCTCTCTCTTAGCTACTTCCCAATGAAGACATAGTTTGAGAAGCTCACAACAGGGGGGCATAGGCAGCTTGGATCCTGCAAACCATTCACTAAACACGAACAAGCACCACACAAACTGGCCCCGCAGTCCTGCTGGTGGGTATGACCAGGAGATCCCACCATGAAAGGGAAAACTCCTCCAGACCCCCATCTCTGGAGGGTTTCTGCTGCACTGCCATGGCTGAGCACCAGCCATGGGATGCCAAGGTCTTTCCTTCTGGAAATGAGTTCATAATTCCATACGCACAACTAACTCTCAGCATACTGCAGTGGAGCTGGCATACTATTTTCTAGCCTTTGCAACAGCAGCTTTAAAAAGTTTCAGCCCACGCCTTGTTTACAAAATCAGCTCAAAAAAACACCAGGTTTTAGGCTGCTGACAGAAGGTCTGACCCTGATCAGTAGCTCTACAGGCCTCACACTAAAGGGTTATAATGCTGAGAGAAAATGCAGAAGACCAAGAGGAGTCCAGCCTCACTTCTCACCCCATAGATAGCACTGCGACCAGTGAACACCTCACCCTGTGCTACATAGAGAAAATCTTCTCCTTTCCTGCCAATGTACAACACCATGCTGTGGCATAAGACCAGAGTGGGGGTGTACTGTAGAAGTTCCAGAAAGCTTTGGAGACAGGATTTGTCATTTATTTATCAGAAAACTCAGATAAAATTGTACTACTTACATTGCTATAGGGGAAGGAAAAGAGAGAAAGACAGAGACAGACAGACAGACAGACAGACTGACCATTCACTTTTCCAAGAGATTTGCTGTAGCATATGGCAAGTGGATTCTCCAAATTTTCCTTAGCTGAAGAAGATGAAATCATATTTCATCATGTACCACTAGTTCTCCAGCTACCATTCCTGAACCTAGTCAGGCACTACTTATAGTCCCAGGACCCAAATGCCTCCTTGGCTAATCCTAAGCCTTGCTCTCTGGCCTCTCATAGGGAACAAGACCCTCTGAGAACTCATTTTGCACTGAAGCTGGCTGAGTTGGCTCTACTTTTCCCCCGGAGATTAGGTGTGTCTGGAGCCAAGGTCCTGAACTGACCAGATCTCAAATAAATTAGTAGTTTATGCAGGCAAAATTTGACAAGAGATAGTGGAAATAAATGACAGCCTAATATTTGAGTGGATTCTGTGCGCTGTTTTGCTCGTGTCTACTAGTCCACAGGTGTCCTACAAGCTGAAGATAATTTCAGCTGACTTGTTTTTTCATTCCACCCTCGCATGTTTCTAAAAGCATCTTTCCTTCTGATCACATGGCAGCAGGTACTGACTTGCTTACACACAGCACTTCTGGTGACTGTGCTGAACACATGCTGTGCAGGTGAGCC